CCTCCGGGCTGGGTGGTCGATCCTAGTGTTGGGTCGTAAAGACATGGAGCCTATCGGAGACCTCGGAGGCAGGTCGATATTTTCCTCTTGTTATATTTGGTTTGTTATCATTGTACATTTGCTCCTAACCCAGTGGCAGGTTGAGGAAAGACAAAATCCACCATGACTAAGGCCTCCGGGCTGGGTGGTCGATCCTAGTGTTGGGTCGTGAAGACACGGATAGCTCGAGCAGACCTCGGAGGCAGGCCAAGGATTTCTATTCGGTTCTATTTGATCTGGTATTATTGTACATTTGTTCCTAACCCAGTGGCAGGTTGAAGAAAGCAAAATCCACCATGACTAAGGCCTCCGGGCTGGGTGGTCGATCCTAGTGTTGGGTCGTGAAGACAGGGATAGCTCGAGCAGGTTAACGGATTATTTGATCTAGTTTTGTGCTATTTGTGTTTCTGACCTCAGTGGCAGGTCGATCAAACTCGCTACGGATAGCTCGAGCAGGTTGATTGTTGATTCTGGTTTATCGAAACTGTTTTTCAACCCCGGTGGCGGGTGAGGTATATTCATTTTTGCTCGAGCAGGTTGATTGCGTTTATTTGATTATGATCCCGTCGAATTGATTTTTCGACCCCAGTGGCGGGTGAGGTATATTCATTTTTGTTCGAGCAGGTTGATTGTGTTTTATTTGATTATGATCCCGTCGAATTGATTTTTCGACCCCAGTGGCGGGTGAGGTATATTCATTTTTGCTCGAGCAGATTGTTCGTTAATTCTAGTTTGTCGAATTTATCTTTTTCGACCTCTTTGGCGGGTCGAGTATATTCATTTTGCTCGAGCAGGTTGATTGCGTTTATTTGATTATGATCCCGTCGAACTGATTTTTCGACTCAAGTGGCGGGTCGAGTACATTCATTATGGTTTGAGCAGGTTGGTGGTTGAATTAAGTTTTCAAAGGAATATACAACATGCTTGAATTTTAAATTTTGAACTGAGGGGCGATAGGACGAGGGGGTATAAGAGAGCTCGAACATGGTGATTGAAACACAACAGACGTAAATTCAAATTTTCAAATTCAAGATTTCAGGGAGTGGTCATGCAGCTTTCGACCTCTTGCGGTCTCGATGCTCGGTTTTCGACTTCTACGGTCTCGACTCTCGGTTTTCGACCTCCACGGTCTCGATGCTCGGTTTTTGACCTCTTGCGGTCTCGATGCTCAGTTTTCGATCTCAACAGTCTCGATTCTCGGTTTTCGACCTCAACGATCTCGATGCTTGGTTTTCGACCTCTACGGTCTCGATTCTCGGTTTTCGACCCCAACGGTCTCTCGACTCTCGGTTTTCGACCTCAATGGT